AATTAGCATACTTACAGAGTAATATAAATAAATAGAGCTGTGGCTATTATACAAGGTCCTGGACCTGTCTTCTTCTGCCTTTGCCTGGAAACCATTCCACCCTGCCCCTGAAAGTCATTGGATACCATTGTTGTCATATTTTTTTAATGTTCCATTAACTCCTAGATGTCCTTTTATTTTTTTTTTTAAATTCCCCAAACTGGCCTCTCAACTGGTGGCTCTTTAACTCATATAGCATTTCTGTGAGATGGCGTCAATACTAGTTACATCCTTCTTTTCCTTTTTAAAATTTCTTTGCATGTTTGTTTTTTTTTTGTGGTGATTGGGATGAACCCCCAATATTATTAGGTTGTCTCTCAATAGAAAAATTATCTCACCTGTGCAAAGCGTGGGTTTGATCCCTGGCATCACAGGATAGGTAAGTAGGTAGGCAGATGATAGATAGATAGATAGATAGATAGATAGATAGATAGATAGATAGATAGATAGATAGATAGACAGACAAATAGGTGATAGATCTTCTATTATAATTGCTACACTATTTTCTTTCTGCCTTTGCTTTTCAATTCCTAAGTTAGAAATCTCATCAAATTAATTAGTGCCTTGAGTTGTTACTAGAATTGTTCTCCTAACCTTCCTTGGTCTTTCCTTTTACTTTTCTGTCTAAAAAGTGCCCATTGTCAGTTTCTCCACCAAAAGTTCTTTTTAAATCAGGGATGGTCTCAATGCCTGCAAAGAGAGCTACTTTGGCAGCCCTCTCACTCTGTGTTTTCAAGTCTTGGTGATCTGAGCCTCCAGTCGCTTCTAGGACTGTCACTGCTGAAAACTGCCGTGTTGTATAACATCACCCCACGTGTCTGCCTCTTTACCAAATACTTCCGGCCCACACTGTTCTTCTTTCAGTCCTACCAGAACCAAATGAGACACACTTCTGTCACTACTATTTTACTGTTCTTTATCCTCCTTTTCTTTCCTTGTGCAGCATAAGTCTGAAGTTAACAGTTTTATTTACAGGGCAGGCGAGATAGCTCAGCGGACTAGCACAGGGGCTGGGGTTTGATCCCCAGTATGTGGCCCCATCCCAAGGTGAGCTGAGCTGGTCACTGAGTCCACATGCTGTGGAACATGCATATAATCCCAGCGCTGGAGAGACTGCATACCGGAGGATCACTACGAGTCCAAAGCTGCAGAGTGAAACCCTATACCAAATACATTTTTTTAAAAATTGTATTTACACTGTGCCATCTTGGCATCAGGTCCCTTGCCTGTGTCATTTGTCATCACTTGACAAAGCAAGGCTTTAATTAAACCCAGCTCTCAACCTTCTAGCACCCATGCCGAGTGAAAGGTGCACACAGCTTACTGATTATTCTACCCTCTGTTCATGGACCTCAGGGGTCCTTACGGCTGTCTGCATGTCACACCTTACATTTATTCTCTTGTCCACCACTGTAACGGATGGCTATTTATTCAGAATTTTATTTTTTAATTTTTTAAAGACAGTATGAAATAGTACTAAAGTAGAAAAATTACTATTTCGTCACTTAATCTCTCCCTCACACCTCCAGTGCCTGCTTCCCAGCCCCAAGCAAAGCTGTCCATCCTTTTCTCCCTCACTGAGAAATCTGAGGCATGGAGAAGGCCATTCTGTGAATGTCCTGCCGTCACATCTCACCAGCCACCAGTGTCTCCACCTTGTAAATCTGCTCCCTTCTTGACATCATAGAAGAGGCATGTGTCCACCTGTCTAAAACTAACTTCTCTACCTGGGCTTTGGGTCTTCCTTCTTTCTAACGGTGCAGCAGAACTCAGTTGTAACAGTGCATCAGTTGTAGTGCATCAGCAGCAGACTCCCCGGACTCAGCACACCACTGTCAGAGCTATGTTGTTTTTTGTTTTGTTTTGTATTTAGTACAAGGTCTACAGGGTCTCACTACACAGGTCAAACTCCTAGTAAACCTCTTGTTTTCAGCCTCCCAAGTGCTGGGTTTACAGGTGTGCACCACCATACCATACCCAGTCTCCATTGCCATCTCAGCATGCCTCAAGGGCAGGGCTGGCATGGCTTATGGTGCCAGGGATCGAACCCCAGCCCCTGTGCCTGTCTAAGAAAGTGCTTTAGTTCACTGAGCTATTTGGCCAGCGGACAGATCT